GGAGTTTTTCAAAGCTGTGTTGCAAGCTGCGTGGTTGGTACAGGGACAGTGACAGATGCTAGTGGCACATCCAAGAGATGTCTCTCTGCTGGAGGGATCTGAAAGGAATTTTGTCTTTGTTATAGACGAGGAAAACCTTTTGTGAGTAACCACTGGGTGATGTTATCATTGCCCCCTTCGAAAAGGCACTGAATGCTCACTGGTGTCACTGAGCTCAGCTCCTCTTGGTCCCTCCAAACACCCCAGCTATTTCCAGCCCTCCTGTAGCTGGCAAGGAGTGGCACTGACAGTGTTAACAAGGACGAGGAGATTGCTTTTGCAGCCAAGTGCACTGCAATGGGACAACAGAGTTGCTAAAGAATATTTACCAAAAGGCAGAATGCTTGTTAAAAAACTATATCCAAGCACACATAATTACCACAGCGTATCATGCTTTCATTTTGCGGCTTTCTTGATAACTTCTGGCACAGTTCTTTGGCAGGGAGAGTGTGGGTTAGTGAACAAGCCATCCGCGTGTCCTTTCCCATCCTTGATTTGCCAAAGAATTGGATAGAGCCCCAGCTGAAGCTTTGTCTTGGCTTAATGTGTGGATGCAGTCAGCATACTTATGTTTTACCCAAATTGTACCTTGTACCATGCAGACCAAGACAGAGGAAACATATACTGCAGACAAGGTAAAGAGGGCATGGTGTTAGCACAAGCCATGTTGTTGAGCATACCTCCTTGGTCTGCACAGCTGCAGCACCTCTCCTCTCCATTGCATGCAGTTGGGTAGAGCTGCTCAACTGTCAGGTTTGTCTTTGCAAACGTTGGAAGAAAATGATGCGTGGTTAAGGCACACAATTTTTAGACTCAGGGAGTGATGTCTCTCAGCCTAAGTGCATGCTGACCTGCTCTGACTACAATTAAATTGTTGTATTTGAACATTTTCCTTGGCCTTATTATACGAGAAGTTTCTAGGATGACATCCATGCCTCCTTCCCTTACTTCCCAGGCTCCTGAGGGAGTTCTGGACCTGGCTTGCCTTGTTGCAGGTGGAAAAACACTATGGTCCAGCCTCAAAATCTGCATGAATTGGGGCTCACTGTGGAACACAATGGAAACACACAGCTCTGGCATCAGTCTTTAGATGGAATGGGTGGGATGGAATGGATGGGATGGGTAGAAAAGGTGGGATGGGATGGGATAGATGGAATGGGATGGGACGGGATGGGACTGGATGGGACGGGATGGGATGGGATGGGATGGGATGGGATGGGAAAGTCTCTGTTTCTGAGCCTTAGCTGACGCCCTAGAAAGATCAGCTGGGCTTTGGAGTCTATAGTGCTAAAGACCCAGAGGTGTCCCAGGGAGGAGTGAGGGCTGTGTGATGCTGGCTTGGGTGCACAGGCAGGCACACAGAGCTCAGACAGCTTCTGTGTCACCCCCAGCAGATGGATGATCCTTTCTCACTTGAAATGCTTCTTTCAGCTAATACATGTTGCGAATAGTTTAGCTCTAGTTTTGCTGAATGGCCTTTTACAAATTCAATTACAAACCATAGTCGGAATTGTTTTTAGCTAATATCTTGTTTGTCAGGGTTTTGTTTTGTTCTCGTTGAAGCCCAAGATGTCCTTGTTCTAAGTCGTAGCATCTCACGGCCCCGCTACCTTTGCGTGGAACACTTCTGGTGCTCTAAAGATACCAAAAGGTTTTAATTACAATTAAGCCAAGTCATTTCTGCAGTTTCTTGCTGTAAATAAACAGCCTGTTTTGGATAATGGAGGTAATGGTTTGCATTTCAACTCTACTTCTAACCTCTGATTTTTGCTTGTAACATTTTATGTGGTTAAATCAATTTTTTCTGCCATTGAATGTAGCCTTTCCTTTTAAAAAAACAACAAAACAAACAACAAAACCTCAGATGTAAGCATGTATTTCATCACATCCTTGCTCGCCAAGGACATGCCTGTTGTAGTTTAACTAGGCTGCAGTCATGCTCCCTTTCAGAGGGGTCTGGAGTTGATAGGAGAAATGTTTGCTGTGTTCTCATGTTGCTGTTGAAGAAAGCAGACACATTACTGGTTTATTAAAAGCCAGGTGTGAATGAGAGCTTTCAAAAGGCAGTGACATGTGATGGCAAGGTGAGATGGGTTTGGTGAGGTGCTGTGTGTGGGCAGGGGCTGTGGCTGTGCAGACCTCATAAGAGGATGATGGATAGGCTTTACTAGGGCAAAGGGACTCACCCAGGTAGGGAACTAATCATGGTTATTTCAGTGTAGGGGAAACATAATACATATCATCAGTACAACCTGTCTTAAGCCAGTGAAGGAGTTATCATTACAGAGTATTTCCATTTAGGTCACTTAAAGCCTCCATTAATTAAATACAGTTATGTGATTTCTTTCTCAAACTTAATCCTCAATCCAGATTTTTGATTAAAACACACACACAGTTTAAATCAGCTCCTGACAGTGACTGCACTGTGCTTTTCAAAACAGTTGTTGCCATTGCCTCCAGTTTTTCTTTCTTGGAGGCTGCTGAGGTTGTCCCTGAGCACTGCTCTGAATCCTGCCTCAGCTGCAAACGTTTTTTCTGGCTATCTCTGCTGCTCCATCCTCCTGTGGCTCTTCTGTGATGAGCAAAGACACAACCCAAGGCTGGTACAAGGGGAGAGAGGGGGATGCTGCTCATCCTGCTTGGCGGTTGCATAAGGATGTTAGCAGTGAATGGCTTTATATTATGGAATCACAGAATCATGGAATATCCTGAGTAGGAAGGGACCCATAAGGAACGTGAAGTCCAACTCCAACTTTTATGGAGTTGGATGGTCCTCCCTTGCTGGCAGATGGGCAGCGTCTCCTGTTGTAACTCTATTAGTGCATGTCTCTGGGGGACATGCAGCTCTGCACTGTTGGACCCTAAGCTGTTGCTGATGATGTTTGGTGACCTCTGGTCACTCTAGAGCCAGGTCATAGCTGAATGTAGCCTATCTCCTCCAAACCTTGGCCTACAGGCAGGTAAGAACAGAGACACAGACAATTTCCATATTCACAGATAAAGTACCAGTTCCAGAGCCTGTATGAACAATAAAGGATGACATGTGTTTCACTTTAAAGACCAGCCCAGCCCACTTCTCCAGGACAGAACTTTTAACTCTTTTTTAAGCCAATAATCAATGAGTATCTAATTTGTTACATTGACATTTTTGCTGGTTTCATCTGAATGAATTAATGAACAGCAAAACGCTTCCTTTAAGAGTGAAGGGGTCTCAGTGGACAGATAAGTTTTGACCTTTCTTGAAAAAACATCCAAATGAGGTTAGGGTTTGGATCTCGTTGATTGAAGATCTGATATATACAGGAACACAGCGGTCACGACAGGGTGGCTGGAAGTGGCTGAAAGGGGGAAGGGTAGGAGTTAAAAACGGAGCAAAAGCCCACCCTGATCCTCTTCCCTGGCTTGGAGATCCCCCTGCCTTAATCTCTGCAGCTGCAGCTCATCCAGGAGGCCCTGGGACCCGCACTCTGCTAATTGAAGTGCATTTAGATAGAGGCTTTCTCCGTGTGAAGTGCAACTTTCCTTTATGAAGCATCACCTCTAATGAACCTCATGTTGATGCTGATGTCAGACAGGGTCAGAGTGAAAAGAGAACAGAAATATTATCAAGGTACACAGCTTTAGCTGCTTCTGGAGCTCTTCACCTGAGCTTCATCTGTAGGGCTTACACTTGAAGGAACAAGAATGGAAGTGAGCACAGTGAGTACACAGTTTATTGCCTGCAAGAGATTGTTGAGTTGTCTTCCTGTTGGTGTGCAGATTGGTGTGAGCAGCTGGACAAAGCCTGGGCTGCTTCTCTACCACCTCTCACTAGGCTGGCTGCTGTGCCTAATGCACCCATCCACACCCCGGGGACCAAGCGAGCCCATGCTCTGATGGGGGCACATGGGAGCCTCCAAGGGAATATTTAAACACCCCATTCCTGACTTCAGTGACAACAGCAGTTTCCAGAGCTCTGCTGTGGGCTCACCTTAAGTGTAGGGCTGCTGGTGGCAGGTCTCCGTGTCCATGGCTGTGACCAGTGAGGACTCAAAGACCTGAGGTTCCTCCTGAAGCCCCACAGCCAACATCTCTATACAAAACCCACATCAGCTGCCTCCTGGGCTGCCCTGCCTCAGCAATGAGGTTCTCAGGGTGCTGTCACCAAGCAGCACATCTCAGCGTCACCCATGTTGGGAACCACCAGTAGATACACATCCAACAAACAAGCCCCTCTGCTTGCAACTCCGCAGTGCTGGCTGATGGCACAACTCCTCCATCCCCGTCCTTTGGGCTTATCCACGTGCCCATGGATTAGCACCACCAGGAAAGCTTTTTTATGCCTTCATCCTCATCTGCTGCCAGGAGATCTGGTGCGACTGCTTCTGCTTTAAAGCGCCTTGCATCGGTATATAGCTATTTATGGTGCCTGTTTCTGCTCTCCCAGCAGTGTAAATCAAGATTAATTCCACTGAAGTTTATGGAGTTACGCCAGTGTAAAACCGACTGATAAGAGATTCAGGCCATTATCGTTGGGTTTGTTCACTTGTTTGTTTGAAATTATATGTGTTGCTGTGGAATGATAAAACACATGGATTCAAAGGCAGGTTCACTGCAAAATACGATTCAAAAGGTTTTTGACTTCACATAATACAGCAAAACAATCACTTACAGCTGTTAATATTTTACTGTGGAGTGGTATCTCAGAGTTTGGAGAGCCAACATCTCTTTTGCCCTTGCTTTTGCACATCCCCATCTCCTTAAACATAGTGGAAACTGAGGCAGTATCTCCCTCTATGTGCTTGAAAATATACTGTGTCCTTGGGGCTGAGACATGGGAGAGTCACTGTTTTTATTCCCTTATGTTCTACAAAGCGAATGGATAAATAATTCAGGTTTCTTTCCATGCTATTCCTAAAGAGATTTCAGCTGACATCTGGTTGCATGCACCTAGTATCAATGCAATTTTCTCTTCTTTGTAGGAACTGTAGTTCCTGTTCTTTCACCTCCTGCCCGATTCACATTCACCCTGCTGAGCTACCTTCCTTCCTGCCAGCTGTCTGCTTGGAACAACCTGTCAACCAGCATCTGCTGGTTCCCAGCACATCCCTGAAGTGATCACAGTGCCAACACTTTGGTTCCTCAAACGCAGAGATATTCCTCCTGAAGAACCCCAAGCTGTTGACAGGTGGGTTTGCTCTTACATAAATACACATTAAAATAGTGGGATTCAATGTTATGCCACTGTTAATAATCTGACTATTTGCATGTATACATGCAATTCTTCTCATTCTGATTTTAGCATGACTAATGCATTACAGTCTAGGTTGATGTTAGTGAGCATTTTGCTCTGCAAAGTCAAGACGTCAGAGAAAGAAGTGATTTCAGGGCCATTCATGGCTTCTTGTCTGTGGGCACAATGCATGGTGCTCTTCTTCCTTAGCTAGGCAGAACAAGTGCTGGTGGAGGTAACGATGAGATGGTTTGATATTCCCTCATCTTCCAGGATCCCTCCACTTGGATGCTGTTGACTTTGGTGCTTGACCTCTTGCTGGCTTGGAGAGGCTGGATTCTGTCCATACAGGGTGACATGGGGGCGGTGGTGGCCCCTGAGCTGCTCATCCATCTTGGGCTGCATTTATGGCCAAAGGATGGTTGGTGTTGCTGCAAGCTTTGCCAAGCCAATGCAAGGAGTGAAACAACACCAGCCCTTTGCTAGCTACACATTCCAGTCCCCATGCTCTCCTTGGTAACCATTGTGCACTGGGTGATATTTCTCCCCCTGGCACAGACCACATCCCCTGTGTCCCCACCTTACCCCACCTCACCCAGCACCCACTCCCCTGCCTCAATGCTCGCCTGTCTAATGTTCTCCCCTTACAAATTTCATCTTGCTGCACTGTGCATCCGAATGATTCCGTGATGGAGTGCACGGGGAAAAAAAATTATAATGCCATTAAAAGTTATCATAAATTTCAGATCAGCATCACTTTTAATCCGATACACAATTTTACTGCCTCTATAAAGCAGGTGATTTGCAGTGGTCTGAGGCGTCTCCTGGCGCGTTTTACTTCTTTTTAAATTAAACACACCAACTTTGTGCTGAATTCAGAGTGCGGACATAAAAACGGGGGTAAAAAGGAGAGGGAAGGGACATCAGATGGGAATTGCAATTGAATCTTTATATATGCCATCTTGGTACTGTGGTACTAAATATAGTGCCAGGTAAATAGATGTGCTGAAATATTCAGAATAAAAAACAAATGTTCTGATAGCAGAGAAATGGAGCATGGAAAATGTCTCCCTTGCTGCTGTGCTTATGGAGACTAAAATGCTGTTGTTTAGAGCACTCTATGCTGGAAGAACTTGCGTATCTCTTGCATTAAATTATAGGCTGTGTACACATGAAATTGCATTTTATTTTGTGTATTATGTGGTTTCTAACCCCACCACGGAGCGAGCGCTGAACCCAGAGTATCTAATTAATAAAATACGACATGGTGCCATTTCTGCTACGAAGTTTTTAGGAGTGGAAATGTAAATAGGCGGCGCTTGGTGGAGAAGCATTTGAAATTAAGGTCAATGCTAAGGTAATTATGTTCCAGCTGTGAACATTTCACCTGCTGGTGGGCCCATGGGTGTCACCAGACCACATGGTGGTGGCCAACCCAATGCACATCTTCTACAAACACACCCAAATTTCTCCAGAGCTCTCGAAGCAATGACAGCTATCTGTCCCCAGGTTGAGCCAGCCACGTGCTAACAATATATTGATATGCCACTACCACATTTCTAGGCACACTGAGAAAGATGAAGACTGTTTGGGGAGGTGTCTTTTGCCCCCTCTCTTTTTTAATGGCCTCTACATCCAGCCTAAGTGTTCCCCATTCCATTTTGGCAATCCTTCAGCCTCTTCTTCCCTGTGTAGTTTGCACACACCACACTGGCATGCTGTGAGGGCCCAAGAGGAGAGCTGGCCCTTGCAGGAGATGCCAGCAGAGTATGACCTGATGCACCCATAGCACAAAACCTATGGTGGGACCCCAGGGTGCTGGCAGCATTAGGTGGGAAATCCACACTTCCTCACACCCCAGAGCATTGCAATCTATTTATCCCCCCCCCCCACTGAAGTCCCCCCTCCCCAAAGCCTGCCAGCAGGCAGTGTGTGGCTGCAGTGTGTGGCTGCTAACAGTGTCACCCCCTGCTCCCATTGATTGCTACCCGCAGGGCTCTCTGTGTGCAGGTGACTGTGTGTCTCTTTCTCTTTATTGCTCACTATTCAAATTCAAGGCTTGTTTAATCAGCAGGCACTAGCAACTTGATGGGAGTCTGGCTGTAATGGAGAGAAGCTGGTGGGCTCAGCAAAGGGCTCAGGGATGTGCTTCTATGGGGAGCAAGGGGCTTCATCTTTTGCATCTGCTTTGCTGCCCAGAGGTGCGAGGGGGGAACTGGGCTGAAGTAGGACTCAGGGCAGCTGGGAAGAGCACAGAATTTGGGAGCTTCTGCTGAGCATGCCCTGACACAGCTGTGGGACCAGTTGTGACCCAGCGCAGATCCTTCTCCTTTGGGCATCACATCAAGGCTAGATGGGAATCTGGAGAAAAGATTCTTTTTCCTACCCACTTGCAAGATACTACCCTTCCCAAGCTGGCCTTTAGTCACCAAGGTTGATTCCCACATCCCCAAGGCACTTCCCATGCTCATCCACCTCCCCATTTCCCTGGGGAGATGCCTCCAGCCCCCTGCTCTGCCCTGAAGCCCAGGGCACTGGTGGCTGCATCCCTTGGGGGCCACCCCTTGGCATGAGGAGGTGGCATCAATCCCAACCATGGCAATGAGCCACCTCTCCCTTGGAGCACCGCCAGCCTGCGTCCCATAGTATGGAGTGCAGATTGCTGACCTTTAAGACGTAGGACCAACTGTGAATGAAATTGGAAGCAAGTATCCCAGCAAATATCCTTTTTGGGAAGAGGGACCAGAGCTGCTGGGATGCAGGGCTGCTTTTCTGTCGCTCGTTAGAGGCACTAATCAGGAGGTTCTGTATGCCTTTCAGCTCCAGTGTTTGCAGGAGGGCTGTCTTCCCATTGATTGAACTACATAAAACCCGCACAGTTCTAAGGAGAATTGCCAAATATTGATACTGGGAGAGAGCTGATATCAGATAAATAGTGAATAATGCTTCCAATTATGCAGGCTTTCATTTTTTTCTGCTAATATAGCTGATTACATTCAATACTGAAGGTTGAGTCAGCTGAGCGCCCGACCTTCATTTTAAAGACAGAAAACAAGGCCACAAAGCAGACCTCACTGTTTGAAAATAGTTCATAAAGTGATGCCCCTGAGAAGGGGACTTTCAAAGATACCCAAAGAAACCTTTGGATGGGATTCACCCAGCACAGCTTGATCACCCGTGGGGACACCCCTACACCTCTGCTTGGTGTGGACACTGCAGTCTCCCTCTGCTTTTATGCAGAGGTGGAGGTGCCATGCCCCACTGATGCTCACCTACCAATGATGTCAGTGTTCTTCATCTTTTGCCATCAGAAATACGGCACCGCATCGTTCTCCCCCTCCAAGAATGGTCTTTGTTAGAAATTACTTCAGCTGCACTAAAGTTGTGAGAAATCTCACAGCAATCTGTAGCGTTTTTTCCCCTGAATTTTGAGTCAAAATTGGACTAATTTCAGCATGGGAGCGTCCAACCAATACTTTCCTTCAACATCTCCAACCACAAATAAATGAACACATACCCTTGCTGTTTTCCCCAGTCCCTCTGAAGCCCCAGCAAAAGGCAGGAACTGCTCTTATGCATTTCTTTCTCTGCACTAAGAAATCCTTACGCTTTCCTGCTCAGCCTCAGCCTCTGGTTTGCTATCAAGTATTGCAGCACCCTGTGATGGAAATATCTCTGCTCTGTCCCTGGCATTGTCACACACTGTGCACGGGCTGTGTGAGCCTGATCTGTCCCAGGGCGTCATTAGCTCTGTGCATATCTGCCCTCCCTCTGTCACCTGTGAGCATCTCAATAGGCTTCTATTATCCTCAGGAGGCTCTGACAGCCCGCTTCATTTTCTTTTCTACATCACCTATTTCCCATCGTGGTACCTGCACCCTGAGTCACGTCCTCTCACACTGTGATCTCCCAGGGCTTTGGATAGTTGCAGTTGTCCTTGTCCCTGTCAGGCCTTTTAGTTCACACTTCTGATGCCACATTGTGATGAGCAGGGCTGGCCAGCAAGAGAAGCTGAGATGCACGACCAGGTGGTTTTGGGGTCTGTTGTAGAGGGAGAGCCAGAGCAAAGCTTTGCAGGAACAGGACTTAAAGGCTACTTAAAGGGCAAGGGAGAGCAAAAGCAAAACCTTTCTCCTCATTCATTCTATTTATTTATTTTGTTTGGTTTTCTGGCTCCAAAAATGAGGTGTCTGGAGTGTGCTTCCTCCTCTCATGGCTCCCAGAGGCTGATGCCTCCATGAATTACAAACTTGCCCAAGTCAGAAATACTTTCCATAGCCTAAAACAGCCCTAACTCTGCTTCCTTAAAAATGGATGGAAACATTTTTCCCTATTACCAAAGAGCAGCATCGTGTCCTCAGCCTTCCCTCTGGGATGAAAGATACTTTGACTCTCTGCAGAACACAGGGAGCCCAGGGAGTTGAGTTTTGCTGAGAAAGCAGGAGGTTAGAAGGGGTGCCCATGCTGTGTTAGATGCAGGAATGCTCAAGAAATACCCATGTGCCAGGAGGTGCATTGCCTTGTAGCCAGGTGGAGCAGACACCTGACTGCCTGCTTGTCCAAACCTCCAACCTGAGTTTATTTTTATTATTTTCATGGCTGCTTGGCTCATTCTCTCTTTTCTTGCTCGTTATCCATGAGCTGTGCCAGGTACCAGCCTACCAATGGTCAAAATCTCCATGCATGTGGCAGCGAGGAGGATGGCGTGGGCTGAAGGACAGGAGCTGGACACCCTTCCTTCAGCACAGGTTCCAAAGCTGCAGCTGCTCTCCATTGTCACAGCCCTAAAATTCCCAGCTAGGATTGCTGACCACTGAACTTAGGAGGCATTGAGTGGGCAAACAGGACATTCACAAGGTGAATCAATGATGGCAATGGGGACATCCTGGCTGGCTGAGCCATACATCATGGATGCTCAAAGTGAGTGAGTGTATTTGAGGAGTGCTCAGGATGAGAAGTAAAGATGAAAGAAGCTTTGGAGCATCCAAGATCTCATAGAGACGTTGAAGTATGAGCTGCAGTGACCTACCCAAGCCATCTGAGATGCTCAGCCTTGAGATCGACTGCAGAGGTGAAGGGCAAAGCCTGGCTTTTGTGGAAGCAAGGGAAATGGGAGGATGGTTGGACTAGATGATCTTGTAGATCCTTCCTAACCTTGTGATTCTATGGCTTCTATTAGGGGATGTGATATCTCAGAATTCCATGTTTCATGCAGATATCTGGCTGGATGCTTTGGGGTGCTCCCCAGAAAGGGGCTGCGTGCCCTGATGTGACAACACCAGCCCCAAAGCCACCCCCTTGGTTTGCATGCAGTGCATGGGTTTAATTCAGGCCCTTCATGTTATTCGAGCACAGATGGTTTTTTTTCTCTCCTTTTTTTTTTTTTTTTTGGTGGTTTAGTTTCTCTCTTAACAGGAAAAAATGATCAAAAATAAGAAAACAATCACTGTTTGAAAGTGAATGAAGGGCGCTTTCTCCCCCTCCCCCATGCTTTTTTCCTACTTTGACATCTCAGTGGTTTTTTTTTCTTTTAGCCTCGGTTTCTGGGATAGGTGATAACTGCCAGTAATAGGATTAGCATTGATTTCTTTAGCAAGAACAGAGATGTGGCAGTTCCAGCCATTTACTGAACTGCCAGCTTTGAAATATCAAAAAAAAGAAAGAAAAAGAAATCTGCAGAAAAAAAAAAAAAAAGAAAGAAAAAAAAAAGCTTCTTGCAGCATTTTAAAGAAAGGAAAGCCTGTGTGAATTAAAATACACGCATGCACACACACACACACGTACCCACGCACATGGGGTATATAAATATATATATGGTATGTATATTATATATATGTATCTCGCTTGGTGCTTTTTTTGTTATTGTGTGATAAAGGATCAAAAGAGCTGTCTCTGTTCTAAGCTTCAAGAAAACCTTTTTAAAATTCATTTGGCTTTCTTTAGCTTTCACTTACTAACATATTTTAGGAGCTAATCTTACATATTTACTATTGTATCCTGACTTTTTTTAACCTTGAAATGCAAGCAAAGACAGAATGAGAAAGGGGAAAAAATAAAGGATTCAGAAGAGAAAGAAGGAGGGGATGTGCCTGAGGAAGTCTGCTGTATCTCTGCTGCTCTGGAGGCACAATGTGAAACCCACCCAGTGGTGCCTTTGTAGTGGCACGTTCTCTCCTTGCTGTTGGTTGTTGTGGTCTCTGGAAAGGGTGTGGGTTGGAGGGGCCATAAAACGAGGGTAGGCCAAATCAACTGTAGCCTAAAAGTGAGAGTTTTAGGAGACTGGGGTTGTATTTCCTACCCTTGCCTAAATATTGGAGGGCATCATGTATTTAGAGTCTATTGGCTGATCCTTTCTGACTTGTATTCAGCTCTTGGGGGAGAAGAATGTTCAAGGGCAACATCAGTGAGCAGAAATGGAAGGTCATATGCAAGAACTGGGTGCTGTTCAGGAAAATGTCTGCTCTTTTCAAGCTCGGGGCCAATTCTGAGCATGGCCCAGGTCTTAAGGATGCCCTGGACGAACCCTCTGTCCAATGATCCCCAAGAGCCCAAACTTTGTACCCTTCAAGAAGAATCTTGTTCTGGAAATATTGGTTCTTTCTTATTGAGTCTTGAGTTGACAAGCTACTTTCATGTGAAAGTTCCATGCCTTTATGTGAAAGATGTATGTAGTAACTCACTGTTCTCATGAGCAGCACAAAGCTGGGAGCAGGATGGAATTAGAGTTTGCTTTTCGGCTTTTAAATCTGAAATAAAAGAGCAACACCAGTTCACAGTCAGTGAAGGGAAAGGCCTTGGGGAGTCAGTGCACCTTATTCTGTTCAGCTTTCTCCTCTTGTTCGTAGAGAATTTGGGCTGGATTCCCATGTAAAACCAAATAAAAAGGTTGAGGGGGGAGGCTGCTAGACATGTTATTTGTAGATGCAGTCAGGATTCACTCATTTAACATGCAATTTGCTCATAGCCACATGCAAGGGTATCTCTAAGCTGTGACATATGGTGGCTGAATGCTCCCAAACAGGGATACCCATGAAGGCAGCCAAATTTAGGAAAGGTCAGTTCCTTATTATGTACTCTGCATGGGAAGAGGTACTTGGCTGGTTCCCTTGCTCTCCACCAGCTGTAGAGGTAAGGGGTCTGTGCTGTAGCAGGCACCAAGTCAGCCACATGCCTTTCACCAGTCTTCTGTGAATCTCCCTTGCTTTGACTGGAGCCATGTATGCATTTGTAGGCGTGCGGGCTGATGTCTCACCAACTCCTGGAGATTTGCATTTCTGTGTTCTTATTAACAATCTCCGAAAGATCCACGATGCTCATTTCACAGCCTCACCTTCATTGTGCCCTCTAATCCATGTCCCCAGGGTCTACTTCTGACATTCAAGCTTCAGAGCAGCTTACAAGCCTCTATTATTTTTTTAACATCAAACTGCTGAAGGAATTATTGTTTCTTTCGTCTGCAAACAAGGGCCTCCTCCCTCTGCATTCCCCCTCCTTAGAATGCTTAAAAACTTGCCATGACTACTCCACGGGTATAGGAATGCTGGGGCTGCTGCTACAGGTGCTCTTCCAACCTTAAAGCACTGATGCTCTGGAAATATCCCTCAGCAAAACTAGTAGGACAAAACCCCTGGCGACTCTGCATATGGAGCCTGGATGAGTGGAGGGAGGGGATCATCTGTTGTAGGCTTCAAGATAGTGGAAATGCACTCATCCTGTGTTTCTGGGTGACAGGAAAGGTGGAAGCTAGGAGACATTCAGCAGCGTCCAGTTGAAAGCAGTGTTATCTCATCTTTTGGGGGTTAAATGCAAAATCTTCACTCTTCTGCAAGAATAAAGTACCAGAGTGCTGGAAAGAGCAGTTTCAGAGGGGTATCTGGATTAATCACAGAATCTCAGAATCACAGAATTGCCAGGGTTGGAAGGGACCTCAAGGATCATGAATCTCCAACCCCCCTG